CTCATTGGGACAACAGGATTTAAAAAGGAAAATTAAGAACCATATTGACAGTTACAAAATTTAAAACCATAACTTGAGGTGAGAAAGTTTGTTCCAGTTCGGATGTTTGCGGCTTAGGGTAGAGGAGGTGTTGGGACATGGTTTTGTAATTAGCAATCTGTTCCTGTATGGAAGAGACTGGGGTAACTGGTGTAGCCGCATAGTGCATCTGTGTGCAAGGACGACTGTGATTGCTAAAGGCTCCCATACCCATTCTCACAACAACAACTTACTAACTGCAGTTAATTAGTTCTAGATTTTAGTCTTTTTCTAATTAAGAGATCTAAAATTAGGTTATTGGTGAAGTGTGTAAACAAGCTGCCTTTGTTACAGAGGAGTTCCACTTTTCTGAACATATAGACATTTACTAAATGCAGTAACAAAAGTATTTTGCTTTATGTGTTTATATATATTGTTGACTTGAGTTGATGTGGTCTGAAGCCTGAATTGTTTCTACGAAATGAATTATATTTTGGTACATACTTACTTTTTCGCTACCAGGAACCTGATGAGAATAATAAAAATCAGGATCTGTGATATTCCGTTTCTCAGATTTTTTTTTTCAAAGTATGTGCTAGTGTTGAGTGACTTTTGATTTAAAATTATTGATAAAATACTTTGTTTGTCTGAAAACTCATTTGCTGAAAATAATTTTCTTACTTAAAAATGATAAGAATTGATGTGCATTTGCTAAGTGTCTGATTAAAGATCACAAAGAAACTCATATTTTGCATCAGAAATAAGCAGATGGTGGACAGATGGTTTAAATTAATATTAATTAAAAATCTTAACTTAAATTGTTTACCCTGTAAATGCAAAGTTAGGAAGCTAGCTTTCCTCTTTAGGGTTAATAACATTCCAAATCTACTTATTAAAAATTACTCCAATGGGCATTCTTTCCAGGCTTTGATTGCAAAGATGGTAGCCTCAATAAAGGGCTTGACAGTGAGTGAAAGCTGGAAAGAGAAAGCAATTCTAAGACTCTTAACAAAGATCCTGCAGAGGTTGATACTAAAAATACGTGTCAGCCTCTCTGGTCAGGGAAGGAAGAAATGGTCAGAAAACAGGACTGCGAATTCAGGATCTTTTTCATACTGATTTCTTCATATATTTATTCTTTTAAAATTAATTTACATCTATTATTTGTTATGTTACAGTAAAGCAAGCTCTAAGAGTACCTTAAAAACCTTCACACGCTGTTAACAAGAAAGGGGGTCAGATTCTTGTCTTGATTTATCCCTTGTGTTTCCTTACTGGTTCGCTGAGGTTGCAGTGGACATAATCGAGAGGGAAATTCTGGCAGCTGGTCAGTGCAGAGAAAGTCCAGAGCGCACCCAGATTTACCATAAAGCACCGTGTGTGTATACGAGTCAGAATACCAAATAACTATGATAATTCAAATATCACTATATGGTAACCATGGATACTTGTTGACATTTTTTAGTGGTAGTGACTACTTTATCTCAGGACATCTGTCACAGAGCCAAATTTGGTCCTCAGTTAAGTATGTAGTGTTCCCATTAAAATCAAAGGAGATTTGTCCCTCTAGTGAGGCAGAATTAGATTGTAAGTGCTGGAAGCTTTGCTATTTTCCTGAGTTTATAACTGGGATATTTCACAAAGGATGTGTACATTTTATTGGGTACCCTTTTTTCCTGATGCACATCTCCATTCAAGTTAAGAATCAAGAACTCTAAATTAGACTTAACATGGGAATCATCCATAAAGAGTTAAGATTTAATGGAGCTTTGGGAGCGTTGGCATTTTGATTCATTATAGTTTACCAAAATGTTCTTCTTTAGTAGTTGACATAAAGCTGAGGGAGAAATTGCAAGATTTTTCTAGCATGGGCAACTTGGAAAAGCATCAAACTTGATGTGATCCTGTTCCCCTGTACAGGCAGCTGAAGATATGGCTATGTTACTGGCATGAGTACTTCAGGAAAGGTAGGACATTGCCGATGTGCTCTGGCACAGCGCTAGGACAGTGTGTCCCCCCAAATGGCAACCGTGTTAAAAATGGTATCTTACACCATTGTAATCTATGGCTTCAAAACCAAATCTGGAGGTATTCACTTCAGGGGTACTAAGCACATTCTTAACAAAAAGTTAACGAAACTTCAGGAAAAAAAAACAGATGTGAGAGGGGCTTTAAATGTTGGGGGGTTACAAGGCGCAGTTAAAATCATAACCGGCAGAATTTGAGTCTCTGAGTCACCTCCTTGAAGAAAAGCTGCCTAGGTGGCACATTTTCCACTTCAGCCCCTTGTCTTCACTGTCCTCCATGCAGGTAAAATGTGTGTGTTTCTCCCTTTCTGCTGATAAAAACCTATCATTTTCAAATGCCACTATGACTCCACATTGCATTTTCATGAATTATACCAGTGTAGTAAATGATATATTCCAGAGTGCCACAATTGCAGAGATCACACCCTACTGTTGGCAAAAACCAGTAGATCAGTCTACATGTAAATAGCTTCATGCTGATTTTAGAAGAGCCATAAAAGTGTACACAGGTGGAGTCTGCATCCTGACGAAGGGAATCAGTATTGCTTCGTTTCCAAAGCTAAATAAAACTTGTTACATCTTCCTTTTTTCTTTTTTTTTTTTCTTTTTTTTGCAGATTTTTTCACAGGCTTTAGGGATTTTCTGTGTGCTTTTCTTCCAGACATTGACTGGGCTTATTTTCAGTTATTATTTCTGAATATTACTTATTAGACCAGATTATAAAAGTGCACGTGTCTCTATTTTTTTCTTTTCTTCTATTCAGGTAGATATATTACCTTTATCATGGACCCATTTCAATATGTCTATGTCATCCGAAATAGCAAGCAACTTGAATTTCATGAATTTGCTGATAAAATGGCTTCCAAAACTTTTGACTACCCAGCCTTGTCGAATGGAAAATTCCCCGATCTCAAGGAAAACCTGCACAGAATCTACCAGTATCTTCAAGGCAAGCCTTTGGATATAATTTCTGACCACATGATGAAAAATCTCCAGGATATATTTGAATGGAAATGCTCACAAGCAACAGATTGGGAAACAGAAAAAATGTACAAATTCTGCTGCTCTGTAATGTTTGAAGCCAGTTTTGTAACACTGTATGGAAGAGTTCCTGCTGCAGATGGCCACAAAGTTATTAGTGAAATCAGAGACAAATTTATCAAGTTTGATGCCAGCTTTCCCTATTTAGCTGCAAACATACCAATTGAGTTGCTAGGAGCTACCAAGAAGGTTCGGAAGGAGCTTATACATCATTTTTTACTTCAGAACATGACAAAATGGCTGGGAGGGTCAAAAGTGGTCCAAGCCAGACAAGATATATTTGAGAAATATGAGCTGCTTGGAGATTATGACAAAGCAGGTAGGAAACTTATGAATGATTGCTTGTCTAAAATAAAATAATTTACTATAGACCTTTGAAATAAAAAGGCAAAATGGCGACCTTGAAATTTTTTTATGTTCTTTCTAATTGGCTAACGATAAAATGTTTTACTCTGAAACAACCCTCTATGATAATTGATTTTTTTTGTGCTGAGGTGGTAAAACAAGATACTTAATGGTGATAATGAGAAAGATTATAACTGAGCTGCATTTCCTCCCCTTATTCCTCCCACCCCCCCGACATTACATTTCAAACTATTCTCATTAAGCAGAAAATTAGACTTCAGAAGCCTATTGGTCCTCATTAGCATTCACTGATCCTTGGCTGGGTCTGTGTCCTAACATCTTTTAATTAGCACACTGCAAATCTAATCAGTGTAATAAACGCTATTAATCTTCCTTTTCACTTATTTTCTCCCAGCACATCATTTTGCCTTCCTGTGGGCCTCTGTGGGAAACACGATTCCAGCTACATTCTGGGCCATGTATTATCTTCTGCGGCACCCAGAAGCTCTTGCAGCGGTGCGTGACGAGATTGACCATTTGCTGCAGTCAACAGGTCAAAATAGAGGGCCCACATATAACATCCACCTCACCAGAGAACAATTGGACAACCTGGTCTACCTAGGTAATTTATTTTTATCTGTTAGGAAGAAAAGAGGGGCTCTCCCGGCAAACTCGGTTTATCACTCATTTCTGTTTACTGAGAAGGTGGAGGACACAGCTGCCTAATTGACATAATAACACCCATTTACATCAATTATAAATTATGTAGTTTATAGCTGTAGATACTCTCATTGCATGTAAACATTAAAGCCTAGGTAATTAGCTATGCAAGGTATGCAAAAGGCTAAATCGAAGCTTCGCAATTATTTGAAAAAAAGTTGATGCCTATTAAGTTGTTTGATTCTGAGCATCTGCCGAAGTGTTAATGCATTTCAAATACTTCTGTATGGCACTGCCAAGAAAGACCCTTTTCTGAAATTAAAGTAGGATAATGTATTTCAACTGCAAATGCAGGTTTTTTTATGAGCAGTTTCTTTTCCTCACTTGAACAAAACAAAATGACTTCTAAAGTGGGCTTCAGTTGAGCAGTGCCTCTGAACAAAACGTAAGAAGGTAAAGCTTTACAGAGCAGAAGTGGTGTTTCTGGTACTTACAAAAAAGGTACATTGATTCAAAATAAGGGAGCTTTCAGTGAGATACAGACCTTCCAGTTCTATACCAGTGTTTCAGAGGGAGGCGATTGCCAGTTGTCGTTGGAAGCTGTTGGATCCAGGAGCTGGATAGGCCCCCAGAGCAGCAGCTGATGGTTTCACTCCGTTTGCTAGTGCACAGGCACTGACAAGATAAATGCTATCATTAGCCCAAGGGAGGAGAAAGGGTGTGGAGGGTAGGAACCTAACCTTTAAGTACCTGAAAGTCTCCATAGGTAGTGTTAGCAGAAGAGACAACAGCTGAATGAAAGCATAAAGGTTCAGTGTTCCTCTGTTTTTAAATATTGGAAACAGTCCTCTGTTAAAACTGCGCTCACGTCCATATGTTTTGGTACCTCATGGCCTGAACTGTTGTTCTACTCCTAACAGAAGCTGTGTCAAGAGAGGGTGGTGGAGCAGTACAGTCTAGGCTTGATTTGGATGTAATAGCTGCCATTCTCCAGGACCATCCAACATGGCACATATCAAGAACCTGTGTTCAAATTTGAATTCTTTCTTACAGTACAAATATAAAAAATCAGAGTTATTTGGTTGCTTTGTATTAAAGCATTAATGTTTATCTTCTGTAGCATGAGTCTAGTAAGTTGGTTTCATCTGGAGTCATGGCTGTTTTGGTGCAGATTTGTCTGTAACTGATGGCTGATGCTGTTATAGTAGGAGAGATGTCCGATGACAACACTTCTGAAGAATAACATGAAATTCTAAACATTTCATGTACTTTTAAAGAACACAAGTAAAATTGATTCACATCAGTTAGCATCTACCAAAAAACAGTAGAAAAGGAAAGTTACTGAGCATCAAGAACATCAAGAGATAATTTATTTTGTATTTGGAGACCAAGATGGGAATGGCAAGAAAAAAAGAAAAAGAAAAATTAAAATCAACAAGAGCCCCAGAATTGTAGGAATAAGGAAAATAAAAGCATGTACTTTACTAAAACCATCTGATACAAAATGGTATGAACAGTTTAAAACATTAACTGTGTCATTCCTCTGCTGCTCCTCGAAAACTTAAATTACCTTGGTAACATTTGATTTATGTGTTGAGTGGAAAGTGCCACATCCTACTTTGTAGTATTCTTGTAACACTTTTGTTAAATTTTATAATCGCGTTAAACGTAATGTGGTATGAACAGAAGCTAGATTTCAATTCTTCTGGCACTTAAGTCATAAAGTGTTGGATACTGTCCCATAAAATAATAATATAGAAAAAAAACCTCTGTACCATAAGAGAATGAAATTCATGCTTCAGTGGAAAGGGATGTTTTGTTAATAAATGTGTAGGAGGGACAAAGGTCCCAATTTGCATTGCTTGTGCACCAAAAATCCCTATGTTGCGGGAAGGCTGTGGGCCAACGCTGCCTTTGCCCTCACAGCTCACTGCCCCCAGCCTCCAAGACGGAGCTTTTCCTCCTCCCGCTCCCCATGTGCCAACCCCGAGCACAGAAAACCGGGATTTGTGTCCCTGCTCTTGAGTAAGGCAGACCAGGTGGGATGCTTGTACGTTCATCACCTTGTCATCTCATTCTCCTGTTTTGAGCGCTCTGATTCTCTGTCCTGTTTTTGGCCTACTGTAACAAGAGCCTTTTTTTGGATTCCTCATGCTATGGAGAACAAGCAAAAATTGCTAAAAAGCCTTTCTCAGGAAACAGCATTGTTGTTATGGTCAGATTCTTTGGGTCTAGGGAACAACATGGCCTGATTTATTTCTAAATTCAAAGCACAGGTATGTGATTTTTTATTAAAAAAACCAAAGTATATTATTTTTTATTAGAAAAACTTTCAACCCACAGCAAACATAGCAAATTTTGGCTCTGATTTTCCCAATGGCATTTCTGGGGCAGCACACTTCATTTTATCTACATAAGACTTTTCCCAAAACCCAAAGGCGCATGTTTGTGTGCTAATAAAGACATTATTAGTCTTTAGGGCTCACCATGGAGCTCTAATATGGTAAACGACACATGAGAATGGTCTGTTGGTTTTTATGGTTATAATGGAAGTGCAAAGGGTAAAGCAGATACATACTTAGTGCATGTTTAATGCTAGGCATGTTTAGTCAGTTCGTTTGTTTAATATTAGCCCATTCATTTATATGGTGAAGTGTTTTTGCCCCAGGTCATTGCTGAATCCCAGATATTTCCTGCAAAAAGAGCACAGCTTGAAAAAATGTTTTGTACACAGGAAAGGGTAGGAACCCAAAAGACAGCTAATACGGAGTGCGTAGTCGTAACGCAAATGCTAAGCATTAAAATTGTTGGTTGGATTGAGAGAAATGGAAATATTTTCCTGGAATGGGCTGGGCAGTACCATTTAGTTCTTAGTAAGATGCAAATGTAGTTGTTTCAGATCATCATTTGTATTGGCACACCGTGACGCCTGTGGGTAAATGACCCCCCCAAAAAATATTTGCATACTTGATAGCTATTTTCCTACAATACACTCTAATAATTATAGTAACCTATTACCTGCTATGTGTTAGTGTAAAATTAACAATCCATTATGCACAATAAGTTTGATAAAACATTTACAGATAGAGATCATGTTTAATTAAAATTAACTTGCCTACGAAAGCCAAATGCACTTATGATTCGCAATGACCTTTTATTACCTGCAGTCCCTTGTTTTGGCTGGATGATTGACAGCTTGCTGTTTGGCTACCATGTTGTATTTCAGCTGACAAGACTTTTCATTTTAACTCAATTTGCCTGCCTATCACAAGCTGGTGGCAGGCCAGGCTCAAGTCACCCAGCTTTGCCTCAGCAGCTTGCTCTATTTCTCATTAGTACGCATTTATTCAGTGGAAATTGGAAGACAAATGCTTGAAGGCATGTGAACTAAGTATAGCAAATTAGGGTTTAAAGACTGAATATTTATAAGTATATTGAAACAGTTTAAAAAAATCTAGAATGAATTGGAAGCTGAGTGCTAGCTTTAGTATAAGAGAAATGAAGGGAGAAGTGGGAGGATTCTAAGAATAACAATACTATGAGAGAGATAGATCTCTCTCTTTTTTTTTCCCCTCTCTCTCTCTAGAAAATATGTAAAATCTCTCTGACAACACCTTATCAAACAACAGCCTGGCTTCTTTATGTAGCGCTCGCACAGCGAAGTTTAGCTTCTCATGTGTGTAAGAAGCGGGGAAAAAAATGAGGGTCATGTTCATTTGCTGCTTGGTTATCCCTTGGTATGCTTTAAATTGCCTTGTTTGTTCGGCACAAGCACAGAAACAGATGTTGCTCCACCGTGCTGGATAATTTACTGTACCTCACGGTGCAGCATAGAAGGCCTCCCAAGCTCCCCAGCTGGTCTGTCAGTGGCGATGGCTGGTGTCTGCTGAACTATGACAACTGCGAGTAAAGGCTGCAGTTTTATTGTGCAGTTGTCATTCCTCTCAATGTATAGCTCCGGCATTTGTGGAAAGCTGACTGTCTATTTTTTTTAGTGCGAGCCTGCAAAGCCATATAAGCTCCATTCTCCTTTGTTGATCATAATGTGACTCATTACTTTTGTCATCTAATGATTATCGGCATGATCGCTCAGAGCGAGAGCCAAGCTTGCCTTCCACACATAACTGGTACTGGAAGGTAAAACAGATTTGTCATTTACGATCTGACCGCTAAGCCACACTTTGTGCTCCATTATTGTGATTAACTTCTGCATAAGATATGCTGCCCAATTGTCATTTGGGATCCGGCGGCGGGCAGGGACTGCCGTGCTTTCTGGGAGGATGTCTGCCGACAGGATGTGACTGCATCGCTTGGGTGGTTAAATGCAAACCCGCTATTTCACAGGGATGCTTTAATAATTATTTCTCTTTTTTTTTTTCCTATCTCCTTCTCCCTTCCTCATCTGATTTCTGGCTTCTCTGCATATGTCGCCATTGTTTCCAAATGGTGGACCGGCGCAGAGTTACTAGCTTCATTTTCTGCAGGTTGAAGATGGTCTGGGAGCGGAGGCTGGACCCTTTCTTTGTACCGCGTAAAGTTTTGTTGCCAGAGCGCTGCCAGTTGAAATCTATCGTGTCAGGTGCCTTGTGGCTATCTGCAGTAGAGGCCATCTTCTGGAACCAGGGTTCTTTTCTGGCTTCGTCACCAACAAGCCGATTTGACTCTGCCTGATTATAGTAACGAAGGCAGTCCAAAAGAATATGCACAGACTCACTGTACGTCACATTGAATCACGGCGCTGGCCACACAAAGCTGACCGCAGCCTCATTTCTTTAGACAAATGCATGCTTAAGGAAAAACCTCCTGCAAGAAAGCATCCAGGGCCACTTTATTTGCTATGCATGCTGCACCAGATTTAATTTTTAGTGAAAGAACATTTGTTATTATTTTTTTCAGAGGCATCTACACTGGGTACCTACTGTCTCTAATAAACTAACCTTTTGGGTGCAGCAGTTACAGTGCCTTGGTGAACACTTAGAGAAGGCTTATTTGATACCACAGAACATAAATGCAGACACAAATGGATTATTATGTGCAAATGAAACCCTATTTTAGGCTATTTTTCACACTGATGATTAGAAGGAATCAAGTCACATATAACAGCGCCCATACACGCTGGTGGAAAAATAGTCAGTTTTGATTACAAAGTGAGAGATGCAGTCCTAGACAGGAGCTACATGCTGATATACATGCTATCAGAATGATTTATGCAAATTATGCATATTATTCCCAAAGGAATTCCTCCTCAAACTGCCAGGATAAATTGCCGGAAATTAGCCATAAAATCTGTCGTGCTAGGAGCAAAAGGTGAAGGCCACTGGGAAACCAAGGACATTCAGCTTCTGGAGGCTTCCAGGATGTGATGGTGGAGACAGAAATCTTGCTTTCCCTAAGCCTGAAAGGACTATGTTTTGTTTTCTCTTGGCCAATTAAAAGTGTCTTTCTCTCTTAAAATTACCAGGCAAATAATGAATTTCTTTCATTCACTCTGACCATTACAGACACTATCATTTGGCGGCATAGTGTATTGAAAAGAAAATAAATAAATTTTTAAATCCTCAGAATTACTACAAAATTAACAAGTGAAGTGACGTTTTCTAACATGTAGTCCTGCCATTACATCCAACAGTTTTCAAAAGGCAAGCTAAATAGCTCTGTGGATACTTTGGCTGATATTTGCTTGCAACCTCCAAAATATATGTAAATGCGTAAAGCGTTCATGTCTTTTGATTGTGTTGTTTTCAACATGATGCCTGAATAATGACTTTCCACCCAAAACTCAGTGCTGCCTACAGCCGACAGGATTTCTCAGCACCATCAATGAGAATCACATCGGGAGGTTCAGTGTCGTGGCTCCCCGCCCCAGCCCTGCGGGGTTGTTTATTGCCTCCTCCTGGTCTCTGCTTTACGTTTGGTTTGTGGCGGATTTTTTTCCTTTTTTTCTTTTCCTTTTCCTTTAGCCTGCCCTACTAAACCTGTCGAGATTCAGCAGCTGTAGCCATGTATAACTTCCAGTCATCTCCCATATTTCTGATGCTTCCCCCCCCTCCACTTTTGTTTAATCGCAGAAAGTGCCTTAAACGAGAGTTTACGAATGTGCTCGTCCTCCATGAACATTCGGATCAGCCAGGAGGATTTTGTGCTCAAGCTCGAAGGGAATCAAGGAGTCGGTTTGAGGAAAGGAGACTGGATAGCCCTTTACCCGCAGATTTTGCACATGGACCCTGAGGTCTATGAAGATCCTAAGGTAAACATCCAGCTGGTGCTACTCTTCCTACTCCAGGCACATCTCAGCAGCCAAGCCTTTTGTGATCTGTGGGTAGTGTTTTGGTTTGTTGGTTGTTTTTTTTCTACTGCTGCTCTTTCTTGTGGAACAAATCTTCCTACTTTCAGATGTATTTTCTAGGGCCCTATAGGTCAAAGGATTCATGGCCTGAAGAGAGAAATATGGTGATGAGACTGACTACCACTGCGTTCAAAGGGCTTGACAATTGCACATTGACTACCATAAACTTTAGGCTAAATGTGGGTTTTGTTTGGCAGTGGATCATTTGATATCCAAGGAGGGCTGGATAATAGAAGGTGGTTTAAATAGCAAATAATGTGGGCCATTTAGCTAAGTGCCCCCAAAGCATCATTGACTCTCTGAAGCCCTATAATAGCAGTGTCTTACTTGAGCCTTATGCTTTTTCACCTCCCTTCGTAGGGATTCACCCCTTCTTGATCAATTAGTAGTGTTGTGAACTTGAGACTGTAAAGCTGTTGCTCTGCAGCAAAGCTCGGAGGGTAATTGTGTCATCTCCTTGTATTTTTCTGACGCTCGAGTTAATGAATATCAAAGACTCGAATTTAATCCACCCTGCCTCTGCCTTAATACAGCTTCAGAAGTTCACCACCTGCATGCAAATTGAGTAGTCCTCCTCTCAGCTAGGTTGCTCGGTTGCTCCCCCAGATTGCTGTCCCCGGCTCAGGGTGCCACCGAGGAAGAGCAAGGGTGCACACTGAGACTGTTAAATGCCTGAGACGCAAAAGCTCGTACCTCAGCCATTCCTAATCCCTGTTTTCCTAAGCAAATGGCTCTCTCCCAGACATGCTGATTTCCATCCTTGGCATTTGAGACAAAGAAGGGAACTGGGTTGGTTTTTTTTTTACATGTTTATAGAAAATCTGTGCTAGAGGTGTTGCTCTCTGAGGCTCTCCCTTTCATAAATTTAAGGATAAAGTTATTAATATGGGATTGCAGAGGAAAGATGAGATTCAAGTGCCTTGCTGGTGTGGGACAGCATATCACTGTGCAAGAGCTCCACTGGAGTCGGTGAGAGGAGGTGTGGAGTGTGTCGGAGTTAGCACGAGTAAGGTATGGTCACAGGGATGAACACTGGAGCCATGAAAATGGAAATGACATCCAGGAGTGGCTGGATGTCCCCACCCAAAAATGAAGACAAAGTCCACTGAGAAAATGTGGGCTTTAAAAAATAATCCATATAGAGGCAAATAGTTGATTAATATTTCTATCCTAAAAAAGTACCAACTAACAAATAAGCTTTTTCTCATTTTATTCTTAACACTTTATTTTGGAGAACATTATTGATTTGTCAAAAGTCCATCTGTTTGTTTAGGTCCTAGACCAAAAGCATCACTGTGGAAACTGATCCCCTCCCTTATCCAATAATTGCCAGAATGTATTACCATATTTCCATTGCTTGAATATATCTGCTTGGTATCAGCTCTGCTCAGCTTTCACAGTACAGCTTTAGTTCATATATTTTATCTTTTTGATAGTGAATGAGCAATCCACACATTGCAGTACATTGATTTCAGCACATGGGCCCTCTCGAAAAGTGGGGAAATCACTGTTCTGTTTGGTTCTTAAAATATGCAGTGTGCTTTCAACAATAACTACTGAGGATCAGATAGAGATGGAGAATAAATTTTTTGAAAGGTGCAGTCTTGAGCTTGTCAAGTATTTAGGGAAAACTTTCCTGGGAAAACAGGCAGCTTGACAAGATAATTTTGTAGCAATGCTTTTCTCCTGGATACATAAATTTAAGTTCAAGCTATCTTCTGCTTTGGCACCATGCTGTGTAAGTAAGTGTAAGCATATATTGTTGACCTCTTTCTCCACTCATCAAAGCCCAAATTAATGAGTCAGGTTTTTTATAAAGTGCGTGAGTGAACCCCTAAGTCCTAACTCAGCTAAGTTACAGAGCTCAGTAAATGAACTCTGCAAATCTCATAAAGTGAAATATCAGGAAACCCTGCGTGGTGGCTTCCCAAGCAAAGCTAAATACGAGATGTGACAGGGTGAGATTTATATCAATCACAGGAGATTGCTCAGTTTTAGTAATACTTTTAACAGACTGTCCACACAGAACATCTGTTCTTGCTCAGTGCCTTCACTTTTTCCTTGCCATCATCCTCCCTGTTCCTTCCACAGAGACCTTATGCATGGCTCAAATTTCCTTGATCATCAAAAATGAGTCTTTCTTTAGTTAGCAAACTAGCTTTAAAAAAAAACCCAACAAACAAAAAAAAAACCCAAAACCAACAAAACGAAATGTCTATTCCTAGTGGCTTCAACAACACAAGCATGAATTTGCTGTCACTGTTGTTGTCTCCATTCCTGTCTCACACTTGTTTTCTGCTTTTCCAATTCCTCAGACAGCAATTTCTTTTTTGTTAAAAGCAATTCTAACTCTCAGATAGTTCTAAAGATGACAAAGAAAGCATAAGGTTTGGCCCAGTATGTCTGTATGTGTTCAATACCACAGCTCTTAATTGCTCCAGACGCCAGGAGTGCACCTTGTGGTAATGTTCCAACAAGGCGGAGAGCTCTAGGTTGGGCTGGGTTGTTTTTTTATGCTATTGCAGTTCATATTTAGCAGTGCTTTTTTAGAACAGCAGGATTTATATTTCAGGAAATGAATCTTTTTTAAGGAAGAAGTGGTATTCTGAGCTTTCATTTGTTACTGTGCTTCTTGAAATGAAGCAGTAGGAAAAAAGTAATGGCTTGCTTCCTTTTGGCTAGGATGTTTAAATAGACGGAAAAAAATACTTAATCAGTGAAAACACACAAATAATCACCTTTAATTTTGTGGAAAATGGAGGCCTCTGCCATTTGGAGAAACAAGCTCTTGTTCTTCAGCACCCAAAGTTACAACCCCATCCAGTGCACCTTGTACTTGATCCCTCTCTCATTGGCCACCTCCCCTTGCCACTGTTTTTTCTTGACCTGCAGTGCATGGTTTTAGAGCCTTTAATCTAATGGGTAGATCAGTATCAGTGTATTTTTTCACTGTGGTGTGTTTTTTTTTAATCAATTGAGGTTGGTTTCTGTCTGACTGACTTGTTCCCAGCCAGCTCCAAATGGCTGCTGCTATAGCAGATGTATGCAAAGCAGGACAAATGCTAATGAGTGACCATAAGCAAGAAGTGTCTGTCATTTTTATTCAAAGCATGCAGGAGGATTTTGTAAGTGGTTAATTTGCCGTTGTCTGAGTGAGGATGCCAGATCTCCTTCATTCAGAAACGTGAATTATCCCCAAACAGGGATCCTGCTACTGGAAAATAGTCAGAGGTTCAATTTATGGAACACAGGTTACAAGCACAACCTGAAGTCTTACTTGCAAGCACCCTCTTTGTAATGATCAGTCACTGGTTGTTGTCCTGCTTTGCACAGAGCTTCCAGAGCAAATCCTTTGAAGGTCAGATGTGGCAAATTAAGCAGCAGCCATCTCCAACTGAAGGGAAAATTGACTGGAAAGTACCGGGTCTGGTTTTCGAATAATCTGCACCACTGGGTGCAAAAGAAGGATGGATTTTGTGCTGGCTTGCAAGAACAAGATCGGTGCAATGCATTAATTTATTCATAGACATTTGCAGAATTTGGCAGATTATCCTCATTCATGATGTATGTACCACACTGAGCGCGTATGATGCTTTACAAGAAAATTGTCCTTCCACTAAGGTTCATTGTCCCTGCTACAAAGCGGTCAAAATCTAATTACAATCAATATAGGCCAGACACTCAGTGGATGAGACGTGGAAGTTGAAGGAGCTTGATGTAAAAGGGCTAAGCTAAGTAAGTGGATTTAAGTAGTGTTCTTTGCAGGGAAGATAATGTGAGTTAATGAAACTTGAGGCAACCAACTAAAAAGGCGAAACTGTCAGCTCCTTGTCTTCCTCTTTATCTTATTTTCTGGGTTTCAGAAGCATTACTGTTGTGCAAACAAAGCAACTCATGTAACTGCCTTGTTAGATATCACGCTCGCGCTCTCTCTCTTTCTCTTTTGTTTTCAGGAGTATAAGTTCGATCGATACATAGAGAATGGCAAGAAGAAAACCACGTTCTACAAAGCAGGAAGAAAACTGAAGTATTTCCTAATGCCCTTTGGCTCTGGGATCAGCATGTGTCCAGGGAGGTTCCTTGCAATGAATGAGATGAAGATGTTTCTTTTCCTACTGCTGGCTCATTTTGATGTAGAACTAGTGGAAAACAAAGCTGTCAGACTTGATAACAGTCGTATGGGCCTTGGTATACTTCTGCCAGACGTTGATATTGACTTTCGTTACAGGCTAAGGTCCTTAAGAAAGTGAGCAGCTGCCTATATGCCTTCTACTAATCTCTTATGTTTTTTGCTGTTTCCTCTTTCAGCTTTGTCTTTCTGGAAATGTTTGCTTTTACCTCCTAAGTATTTGTTTCTAAGGAGAAAAGCTCTTGAGCTAGAGGTAGATGTCAGATGTGGGGACATCCAACCTCAGTTTGTCCTGCCTGAGCTGTGAGTGGTGAATTGAGATAAGAGTTTGGCCACGTAAATAGCCTAAAGTCCCTACAAGATGGACCCCAATACTCTTGGCCATGAGCAGAGTAGGATTTACAGGGAGGATGACATCAAGTTGAAACCAGGCTATTTATACAGGAAACAGTCTCAGCAGCCCCCCATCACAGGGGTTCCCCCTTCTTAGGTTGGGAGGCCCAGTACATCCACTTTCTGAAAGCATCTCTGCATCTACTCATAGAAGCTTAATAGCAAGAAAGGAGGAACTTAATTCTAGACAGTGAAAAAATTTTTAGTGATTATTTTTCTAACTTCTTATTTACTCTGTTCCCTTCACAGTGTCAAGTGTCCTAGCCCTTATCTGGGAGATGTGATGGAAGCTGTGTGGGGTGGTGAGGGATGATTTGCAAGAATGTCTTACTGGCAATACCTTTCTGACTTCAGTTTTATGTACTGAAGATAAATGCTTTGCTTTTCTTCTCTTTTGGTGCAATGCAAAGAAATTAAAATCTGTGATTTTATCCTGCAGTCATTTAAAGTCAGATGGGAGGTTCTGTTGATTTTAACAGGCTCTGGATCATGCCTAAATTATCTATTTTGGCTTTTGAGCCAAAAAAAAAAGTATATTCTTCAGGGAGAAAATATATGAGCCTGATCAAAATGATTCTGTCATCTCAAAAAATTACCTTCTGTTTGTCTCGCTGTTTTCCTAGTAACATGTCTGTCTGTGTGTTTATTTTAACCATTTCTTCTGGTTTTTAGTTTCTCAAAAAAATCAATAGACGAGGGCTTAAAGGGCAAGCATGGTATCTAAAGCTACTTTTTAATAGTGCTTTAATGTGTCTTAAGCTATGCATAGGCAGAGTGGTGTGACCTGTGTTTGGAAACAGATTTGTTCTTCTACACGCTGGAAAATAAGGTCTTCCTTGGGGCCAAAATTTGAGCAAGTGACAACCTTCAGCAGTCACAGAAGTTATCTGTATAGCAGTTACCCAACCTGCTTCACTGGGTGACCAGCTCTCCTTTCAAAAATGAATTTCCTAGTGCACAGGTTTGGAGATTTGTTAGAACCTGTCTCTCTTTCCAGGCATCACTTCAGAGACTGATGAAGATTCTCATGGCTGTCCAGTCTGGGTTTGCCAAGGTGATAATTGTGATGGGAGAGTAGCCATGTCTGTGGGCCTTGCCTTGTGTTCCCAAAAAACATCTCTGTTTGGGATGTGCCAGCATAAGTTGTGCCCACACTGCCAGCAAATGAATAATGATGCTGTACATGAACAAGACTTCCCCTGATAATCCCAAGTGTCCAGTCATCATTCACAGAAGTTAGACTGGAAGAAAGATGAATAATTGCTGCAAGAGAAGGTTGGTTTGGGCAGCCAACCCTTGATCTATTCTGTGCCAGGATTTGCATTTCTCTAAACAGCTAACGGACCATGGAGGTGTTCCTGCTGTCTGAACATGAGTTCAGATTTGCCCTATAGACACTGAATGAATTGTTGGCTTATCTGGAGTTGGAGTTACAGAAACTTCTCAGTGATTGCTGAGCAAGTCATGAAAAAGATCAGGGTTTTTTTCCAGTATCTCATTGTTTGCATTGCTGTGTTTTTAGTGTGTCCTGCGTTGGTGCTGTCAGAGGCAAGATGCTCAAAAAAAGCACCTGGTACTCTACTTTGTGAAAAAGGCACAAAGCTCTGAAACTTCAGCTTGACTTGTCTTTTCCCAGTGGAGCATCAGAGCCACTGGCCCATTTTGAGAATACTGAGCTGAAATTTCCTGTCCCTTAATCTCACGTGTCTTTTAAAATCAGAAATTTTACTCATCTCTAAAGCGCTTGCTGGCCTATGGATGGAAACTGCTACGTACATACTAAAGATTAGAATTATTTACTGTTATTTGTGTATAAGCCTGTTTAGTTATTCATGTAAAGCACAGACCCTAAATAAGCATCAGTATCAATAGAAAGGTTTTCAGAGATTGGCACAACCATATTGCAAATCCTCCAAGGAGAAAACTGTGGGTTTGTGAGATATATTGAATAAACATTTTCTCTTCATATATAATATCAGTAATGTCTACCGTGTTGGAGTACACTTACGTTAAATGGGCTTTACAGTTGATTAAATTCTTTAACTTTGCTTCAACATTTAATCAACGGCAAAAGCTGATTATTGCTTTGTGCCACAGAATAAAATTTGTTTTTATGGAGAGATTCTTGCTCTCAAGTTACTTACTGCTGTAGTGACGCTGTAGGAGCTATTCTGTACTTAGCCATAGCTCACAATCCAGTTTGGACATTAGAGCCTGGTTTATTGAGAGAGGAAATGTTGATATCATTACACTGCTGACTGTATTCCATTATTGCTTAAATGTAAGCTGTAAAATGTCTCATGCCACAGTTATGATAAATCTTTGGCATCCAACTTTGAAACAAACCTGAAGCAACTGCAAAAATAACAGTAGTCTGTTTTAAACAGAAGACTTTTTTAATATATAATTGTGTTCTATTTATAGGATTTTGCAGTAGAATATCACAGGTTGCTGTATAGTTTGGTAGGACAAGATAGGACTGTGCCAAAAGTACATGCAAATCATAAGTAATTTCAGATTAAGTGCTGATAAGTTTGTATAGTATCTCTTTTGAAACTAAAGGAAGAGTTAGATTGTCTCCAAAATAGCAAATTAAATCTGCATGGCATGCTTCCATTTTAAAAAAGAGAAAAGAAGTCAGAATCTTTCCCAGGAGTTGTGGGAAACCTCCATGAAGGCACTTGGAGGCATTGTGTTGAGGTTGGAGAGCACCCGTTGCACCTGCAAGAGGCCAGCGTTTGACTGGGATAAGAGTCAGTTTCTCTTTTTGCTCAGGGACCAAAATAATCAAACTTCAAGCTGGGTCTGCCCAGCTTGTCCTGGAGCTGTGTCCCTGGTAACATGTGCTCCTTGTGGGTGAGTTTTGCTGGTAAGCAATGCATCACTACCTTAGCATGCTCCAGCTGCATAGGAGGTAAGTCAGGAGTGCTAGACCAGTGCAGAGGAAATGTGAAGCCCTTCTGGTCCAGGTACTCAGCAGCTGAGGAGGTGGCTTATTTGCCAGCTGACCTGACCAGGAGTGACTCGGCCCCCATGGAGCAGGGAGTGAAAGGCCCACAGTGTCTGTATTCCTGATCAATAAGCTGTATGAGCACAAGATGAGCATGCACCATCCCTGGAGGTCCCAGCTGGTGCCAAGCTGGCCACAATGTGCTGTGTCGAGGAGCGTGTGTTTCATGATGTAGGGCACAAGACAGGTTTTGATGACCTCCTCTGCCACGGAATCCAGGGACAACCAACTCTCAGTGCCTGTCACTGGGGCACTGAGATGTTGAAATCGTCCAGGCAGAAACCATGGTGCTGTTTGCAAGTGTTCAGGTGCCGGGCGTGCTGCAGGGGTGAGTGGTGGGAGGCAGCCAGACCCTGTGCTCCTTTGTCCCTCCTCTCCCCTTCAGCAGCAGGGTCTGCCCTGCAAGCCCAGTGATGCCTGCTGGTCCTGTCCACTCACCCAGCAGGTGTGGGGTCCCCTGGGAGGAGCGTGTGGGTGCCCCTCAGGTGGCTCTACTGTTCCTTGAGTGAAATGGTGCACTCACTGAGCAGTGTGAGATGTGACTCGGCCGGCCAGTACCAGCCTCTGGCTCTACGCTGTCACTGCCTATGGCTATATTAATAAAATCTTCTGCTATTAAAAAAAAGTCACCTTTTTTTCTCATATAAAATAGGTTTACTGAGTCAGCATGGCCCTTTATAGCACCTGGAAAGAAAACTGAATTCATCATCAACTAATGTGAATGCTAAAATGTGATTTTTTTTGTCATTATTTTTTCTTATTTTAATTTACAGAATATATGTTCTCCATTTTCATGCTGGCACTCGGTACTGCTATAAGCTACTGTAAACTTTTTAAATTGTCACATTACTTAAAAGACCATGCTAGTCTATGTGTACCTGTTTGCAAATTAGACTTTCACATCTCTGCCAATATGTCCTAATGTGCGAGTATAAAACTGTGTAAGAGCTGTTCTTTAGTTTATGCTTTTAAGCCAGTTGCATGTCACTATTTTTGGCGTTGCTGTTTTTATGAATAATTACTGGTCTGTGAATTTCTCTTGTAGAATTATAATTGATATTTTATTTCATCTTTATTGAACTTTCTGACATTCAAAAGATTGTGAATTGCTCTTAATTGTGCAAACTGACATTTTGTATATAGGTGAACAATGGTTAGGTTCTACTTTAACAGTTAATATTCATCATTAAGGTTCTTAGATCGGATAAGGTATAGTGTGAATTTCTGAGCAAGAAAATTGAAACTTCACTATTTTAGTAATCTAACATCTTAAGTAAATTTTGTATTTCAAGGACACAATAAAAATGAATATGTCTATTTTAATATTGAATGACTGTCCGTGGTATTTTTTCTAGCTTACATTTACACTCTTCTCACAGACTCACAACAATTTCTTTCATTTTTAAATTATTTATTCAGCATACAGCATTTTTCTGTTACTTGATCTTGAAAGGTATTTCTGTAAGGAAAAAAAGCCTTTCATTCAGCACTGGCAATTCCTTTGAATTTAGGAAATGATCGTGTCTGTTTTACCCCCCATCAAACTTAAACTAGTTCTTATCAGATGAGGAAAAAAAACAAAGGTGGTACTTCTGACATTCTTAGGACATTATTCAAAATTAATATAAAGATCTGCAACCCACTGGTAATTCCCAAATACAGCTCCTAGGCTTTTTCTTTTGCAAACCTCTGTGTAGTACAAGATGTACTACCTAGTGTAAAATATTCTGTCCTCTCAGATCATTCATTTTAAAAGGGGAAATGAATGAGAATTGTTCCAATATACAGCACTGCGCCAACAAACCACAACTTGGCTTTTCTAACTATCATTGTACCTACTGAGTCCTACAAGTAGATATTTAATATGAAGGTTGTACCCTAAAGACATCAGTGTTTCTTCATTCCTTCATGCAGAAATGCTTGCCAGGTATGTCTGCGAGAGTGTTGAAGATAACATCGTAGGGAAGATAGACCTGCAGCATTTTTTCTGGGTTTGTAACTCTG